AAAAAATGGGATTAACTAACAAAAGCACATGTCTGTACTACTAATTGCTATCGCAAAAGTGTTTATGAGGTGAAGAGAGCAGTGATGCAGCAATACCTGGGGAAGAGAACAGATTTTAATTCCTTTACATGGCAGGGCTAGAGGACAGTATCCAGCATAACAGGGATCAATAATGCAGGGGCTGTGAAGCACAGCACAAACACTTGGTGGAGTCACCTTGGGTCTGCACCAAACCAACCCTGAATGTAGGACATAAAAAATGTAGGACTTGTGCCCCACAGTGCCTGCAACAGGGACTGGTCTAAATACCTCCTCCATTAGGAGGAACCCAGTTTGCAACACGCATCCAGATCAGTCAGGCATGGGTTAGCTTAGTGGATTGAAGCAAAGCAGAACCACCCCCTACCATGCTACCAGACCAGTGCCAGGCTCTGTGCAGATGTGTGGTCAGCAGCTCCATATGGAGCACAAGAAGCTGAAGCTGAGTTTCACTGATCAAAGCTGGCCTGAGTGGATATACTGAGCTTCCCCAGGGATGGCAAACAGGCTGTACAACTGCAGGCTCTCATTCATCACTCTTACTCCTCCCTGTTTGCTCCAGGCCCTGTGACCATAAGGTTAGCCTTTTACAGCTAGGTGGGTGCTTTTTCCCTCACCACTGCTTCAGTTACTGTCCTACATTCAAGTTGTTTTCATGCGCTCCTGTGTAGAACCCAGATCCCAAACTCAGGAGACTGGGGAACCAAGTACAAAGACATTTGAATATGGCTGCAGGGATCAGCCTGGATCTGGCAGTACCATTCCTAAACCAGAGCAGAAAACTGCTGACCTTTGAGGGACTCCTCCTGGAGTCAGTTTGGTGGCTCTGTACAACTTCCCTCTGAATTCCAGAATTGAGAGTGTTGTGTTGAAACTCAAGGTTGGCTCTACACAAGAAAGCTGCAGGGATCAGCCTGGATCTGGCAGTACCATTCCTAAACCAGAGCAGAAAACTGTTGACCTTTGAGGGACTCCTCCTGGAGTCAGTTTGGTGGCTCTGTACAACTTCCCTCTGAATTCCAGAATTGAGAGTGTTGTGTTGAAACTCAAGGTTGGCTCTACACAAGAAAGGTTCATAGAATCATAGAATAGTTTGGATTGGAAGGGACCTCTAAAGGTCATCTAGCCCACCCCCCCTGCCGTGGGCAGGGACATCTTCAACTAGATCAGGTTGCTCAGAGCCCCGTCCAACCTGGCCTTGAATGTTTCCAGGGAT